TTTAAATGAATTTGAAAGTAAATTCTTTTTCGCTTTGATCAAGCTTTTATAAGGTTGTTCAGCACTACGAATAGTAGAACTGTAAACTGCGAGGATCAAAGTCAAGCAGCTTGTTTTGACCCTACCCGTAGGCTTGTAGCATGCGAAGCAGCTCAAAGGGCTCTTAACGTTATCTAACTAGCTCGCCGCAATTGGAGGGTTCATGAAAGTGATTTTGCCCTATAGAATCTTTATAAATTTTTAAGGTGTAAGTGAATGTGTAGTGAATGTGAGTGTGTTAAGTGATCACCTACTTCGCCAGCCAGAATCAAAACAATATAATTAGATTACAAACATTTTATTAACGTGTTGTTGTTACAAATGTCTTAATCTAAAAGTGTCAAAAGTGTATTCTGATTCAAAAATTATGATTATAATAAAAATAAGGATTATACGTATCTGCACATGTGCAACGTAGTCCAATATTTCTGTAATGTTTTCGGCAATTTACGTCATTAATTTTTCTCCCAAAATTTACCACCGATTTGATTTCCGCATTGGCCGGCTTGCATGTGCACAATTACACGCATTTTGTGTTTTTGGTCCTTTTGAAACTAGCGATAGAGTCTCTTTATTCTCGCTTTCTTAGCCGTAAGAAATGTTTATTTTTTTTTTCTTTTTTTTTTTTTTTAGATTACAAAATTTTCTGACGACAAACTTCAACTGAATATATTTTTTTTTGTACTGGGAATATCTTTTTTTTTCAAGGGTGAAAATGACTCAGGAGTCCGGTCACGTCATTAATATAATTAGTGAACTGAATTATTTAATGCACTCGCGTTGGATTGTCAATTTTCTTCTTTTTAGATTACTTAAAAAAAGTCTTTACTTTATATTGTTATACACATTTTTTTTAAAATTTTTAAATATACTTTTTCTCATTTTATTTATTTTTACCGAACTGAACAAAATCCAAAAATTCAATCATCAAAAAAAACCTTCCCAAAAAAAAATAAAACCAACGCCTATTTTCCTTTTCCTACATTTTCCCCCTAGAATTTTTATTGGCGCCCAACGTGGGGCACGAAGGTTTGAGATATTATTATTGTTTATTTTACGATGGAATCCTTGAATACTGCGGTGTCCCAATTTACACTTACATTTTTCCACTTTACATATAACAAAATTACTCGTAACCCCCATTGTTTAGTATCGCGGATGTTTTTCATTTGTTGTGTTCAGGTTGTTGCATCATCGGAATATTAGCTTTAGATTTCGTCTTGGCTAAACCATGGTGCGACGGGTTGGACATGCGATATTGGCTCATTCGAAATCAGGATATATTAGATTCTGGAGTACAACTAGACTAAACCTGTTATTTCGGATGGACCTCTTAAACATTTTGTTTTCTTGACAATTTTCAGTAATTAGCTATAACAATGGAATGTCTTATTCTAGCGTCGATTTGGAATGAACCTTGTTATGGCGTTACGCTTCATAGATTGGAATATCTGTTCATGGTTTTAGTTTAAGCAGAGCCTATTTATGGATTGTTGTCTGAAACACATTCAAAGCACTAAATTTTGCTAGCGCCTTTTTGGAAATTATTGATCCTGGTATTACATTGGATCAAGCCAAGCATAGCAAATGCTTATTCTTTTTAGGTTTCATTTATTTCATTACACCAATACATCACATCTACATACACACATAGACTTGCTGAACCAGCCAGGATCTAACAATGTTATTATTAATATACTTTAATTACCGTTACTTTACCATAACTAGGTTATTAGTTCATAGAAATCTTTATAATTATTAACTTTAAGTTTTTGAATAATTTGAAACTCTGTTGCGGTATTTTCTCATGTCTTTATGTCGAAGTGAAGAAGATTTATCAGTTTGCCAGACAGAATCGGTACTTATTTGTTCTATTTGTCGGAGCGAATTAGACCACAAAAGGACCACTTTTCGTTTTGTATCAGATTTGGATGATTAATTTCATCATTCCTCCAAGTCTGATCTTGTCTGGGGGGAAAATGTAGGAAAACAAGTAGGCGTTGGTTTTATTTTTTTTTATTTTTATTTTATTTTTTTATTTTTTTTTGGAGAAAATAGTTTATTTATATTAAAATAAATTTTAAAATGGATTCACGAAGATGGCTGTCTTCATTCTCTTCCATAAGTCACAACGAATGGTGCTGATGCTATTTTACATTCCTGTCGTCTCTCGGCACGTGCTTTAAACAAATCAAAGTAAACTTTTCCTGAGCAGAAAACCAATTTACAAACATCATCAGGGTTTTCACAGGGTTGGCACTTTTGAGTTATCACGAGATTGAAAGAAGCCAGTCCACGGCGAATCTAACCAATCACTGTACTTAATTGTTGTAATCTTTTTGGCATCTTCGAAACCTTGCTCCAATATCGCATCGTACTCATCAATAGATTGCTTAAGCAATTCCTTTGTGATCACCTTTTCATCAAGCAATTTTTCGCAATACAAGTCGAAGACCGGCTTGTGTGCACGTATTTTCGTGTACATCAGCGGCTGCGTAAACATAGGCTCATCAGCTTCATTGTGACCGTTGCGACGATAGCCTACTAAATCGAGGACAACATCCTGTCGCCATGCGGCTCTCCATTCAGCACAAATTTTGCTAAGATGTACCGACGCTTCGGGATCGTCAGCGTTTACATGAAATATGGGAGCATTCACAACGCGAGCGACATCCGTGCAATTTGGTGAGGAGCGTGAGAAACGAGGATCGGTTGTGAAACCAATTTGATTATTAATCACAATATGGACGATGCCATGAACGGTATAACTGGGCAAATCGGACAAATGCATTGATTCGTAAACAATACCTTGTCCGGAGGAGGATGCATCACCATGTATGAGGATGCACATAGCCTTACGGCCTTCAAGATCACCGCGGTAGAATTGCTCTGAACGTGCCTTACCCTGAGCGACCGGATTAACAGATTCCAAATGCGATGGATTAGCGACCAAGCACAAGCGCACATTCTTATTAGTAACTCTATTCAAACGTTCAGTAAAAGTGCCTAAATGAATAATTTCTGATCGAGGATTGTGGCCGCACAAATGAGATAACGGTACCAAATTACGTTGCGAAGTATGTTCGGGAGGTACACATTCATAAGCACCGGAAACGAAAAAAGCATTCAAAGAGAACGCTACCGGGATCACGCTTCCACGCGTTATACATATCCTCCACATAAGTTGCACTATTACCACTACCCACAGATACTTCGGCTGGTTTTGCGGCGCTACCTCCTTTACCTCCGTTATTATCAGATTCGAAGCGCCTTTGCTTTCTTGGCAGCTCATTTGAAGTTAAATCCCATCTCTCTGAACCTGGAATATTCAGGAAGCTTGTCCAGAATTTTCGTTTCCCCAAAGGTTGTAATATTGTGTTGTACGTGGGAATCTTCAATTTAAGCATCTTAAGCGCTTTATTCAAAAAAAGTTGCGAAGTTAGTTTTGAAACTTTTTGGGAAAATCTCTTTTTTAATAAAATTAGCTGCACTAAAACGCTAAATGGTACACAAGAAATTTTACAATACAATTAATTCGAAGTCAAATAATGAGTTTTCAAAAGAAAGCAAAAAAAAAAGAAAGTTTTTTATTTTAATTTCCGAAAAAAAGCATAGCTTTTTCTGATGTGATTAAAATAACAAATAATTATTCTGTCTGTATATATTTGTAGATACTTATATTACTTAAGTATAGTTATTTAGTTATACAGGCCATCATTCTGTTTACATATTATATCCCTATAATCCCTATAGTACGTAAGAGTCCCGCTTAGTCATTTACGCTATTCTCCGATATTTACCATTAGCTAAATGTGGCAGGCTTAAAGCCGCCTGCTGCACGACACTGCACAATGCTCTACTGCTGGACAGAGAGGAGGTGAGAACGCCAGCTGACATAGCTCCAATGCGGTTGAATTGCCGATTAGCAACGTCAATCAGATCGTAAAAAAAGAGTAGCGAACTTCCTTTTGCCTTCTTCTTGTCCGAAATGCCGTAGAGGTAACATCACAATGCAACCTAATCCGTGTTTACCCATTGGGATTCCACGCGATAGATGCCGAACTAGAGGTAATTTGGATAGCAGACCGTCATTCCGTCCGATAACCACCGACGAAAGATCGAAGATAGGATACAATTTGAAACATGCCGTTTACTTAGTAGTATAAACTGATTAATGTATGTAAGGAAATAAGAAGGACGTTTATTTAAAACGGGGTGTAGAGGTACCTTGGGTGACCCGCTGAGGCCAAGCCAGTATTATTAAGGAAAAATTTACAATTCTCTCAAAACCAGTGAATCTTTTTTCTATGTTTTTCATGACCAACCGCGGAACGTTTAATTGGATTGGTTGAAAGGGTGCACAATTTTTATTACGACGTGTAACTGAGAGCAGAAAGACCAGTTCACGACGGTTTATGATATCTACAGCAGTTATTTGTATTAGTATCAAAACTTACTCTTACGCAATGAAAACGTGTTGACATAAGAAGGAAACAAAGCCTTTTCTGTCAATGGAATTTTTGAAATAAATGTTTCAGTTTTCTTCGCATATAAACATATTAAACAATATATTTTCTATATAAAAACTTTTTCTGAATAAACAACTTCACTCATCCTATTTAAATATACAGAAATCAAAATTTTTTTAATCAATATCAGATAAGGACGGGACAAGACAAGAATATGCGAACTATTATACGCGATATTGAGCCATCGACTTCTTGTCTGCGTCGCAATGTTTATCATTTGCATATACCGCTATTTGTTTTGGATGCGATACGCTTATTTCAAGACCATCCCAAGTATGTACATGGCCTAAAGGAATGTCACATATTGGCTTTGCTGGAAAAAGAGTAAGTTTTTCGAAAACCGTTTCAACTGATGTGTGACATTTTCGATAGATTTTATTTTCGCGTTACCTCGCAGATCATTCGCCTGCGGTGATTTAGAGTCTCAGGTGAAGATGGCTCTTAAGGAATTAACTGCTTCCGGTTTTGTGCGGTATGTCTGCCAAGGTTATCGTACCTTAGGTCCATTCGCTAAATTAGCTTTGGCTCGCACCCCCCGCCAATTCAATGTTGCTTGGGATCGTCTAACAGAAATGCAAAAAATTAGTTGTAGTAGTTTAACTTCGCCTAGCAGTTCGCGATCTAACACTTGCGCTTAATTCTTAATTCTGTGAAGTAGATATTTTGTATTCAATGTGTACAATGTTAATATGGATATATGAATGAACATATATGTCTATATATTTTCTATAGTCGCTTATAAAAACTGTAACTGAAATATTAGCAATTATTCGGTTAACCGCAAGTTCAATAAAGATAACACAGAAGGGATAAATGTTTTTAAAAAAGGGGGTGTTGAGAGTGTTGAGTATCTTGTGGTTGCTTTCCTTAATCACAACACGGTTAGGAAGCTAATAGCGCTTAGTTATTGAATTTATAAAGGACACAAGTGAAAGAAGTAAATAGTATTCGACGTGCGATGGATCCTGCTTCATCTTAATCGAAAATATTTTTTATTATTATACCTCCTGATTGGGGGATTGTTCTTGCTTAGAGAAGTTAGGCGGCTAGCAAAAGTGATTAATAATTCATTTAAATTTTAGGTTGATATATGCATAAGTTTGCAAGCCATTGACAATTCATTGTAACAGTACTGTCTATTTTAGAGCATTTAACGCTTGAAAGCATTTAAATACAAAGCATCGATAGGAGGGCATCTCAGAGTCCTATGATAAAGGAGAATGTATCCATACCCTTTTCCACTCTTTTACTTTCACTCCCTAATGTTCTTTCGCGAACAATTTACATTTCTTTCTTTCAAGGTTATGAATTTTCTTCGAAAATCTTCCGGACCTATCAAGTAGCGATTGAAGTTTAATACTCCTAATCCTAATTTTTTTTATCAAAAAATCGGTTAACATTAAGTCACTGTCATTCGCGGTAAACAAAGATTTTTGTACAAATTTTGAGACAAGTGCAAAATTGCAATCATTGGTGGCTGGTACCGATTTACCTTTAATCATTCGGCGATTACATGCTGCTCTCAGAAAGCTTATAATCGATTTGCGATGTGTTTTCAATACGCATAGAAGATGTTGTGGCCTTGTTGAAGGGCCCAAAGCAGTAAATGGTGTCATTAATAAGAAGTCAGAAATTAAATTCGGTCATGACCGAATCTCTTATTCCCATCCACGTTATTCCAAAAAAGACAACAACGGAAAAAGAAGTATATTTTTTTATGCTACATAATATAGACTGGGCGCAGCTGACTTTTTCTATTTTCAAAATAAAAATGTAGGCGTGTGGGTGTTGTATGCGTGCCCTGTGAAAAGTTTGGGTCCCTCCAAATTGATAGCTTAATTTTTGCGGCCAGATAAATGCTTATAGCATATATTACACAGACGAACAGAGACACATGCTTAAACCGACACATAGGCAGATATTCCACTCCCGCCACACAAAATAGAATGTACGTCAAATCTCGTTTTCAGAGAACTAATCGCAGGGAAAACTAACCTTTTGAAAATAGTGACTGGCATCCTATTTTTTCAGACGGTTCTAAGTGAGATGACTTTTCCCCTGCCTATGCAGTAGTAGATACCACAGGTCAACTCCAAATTAATCACATCCCACCTGTAAATGCTTCAACATTTACAATCGAAGCTACAGCTATTCTTCAGACCACAGATCTTGCTCGTAAGGCGGTTATCATCACAAATAATTTTTCGATCATAAAAGCTACTCATAATCCTTTAAATTTCAAATGGATCACCATTAACAAGGTCAGAAATACCACGTACGAAGGCAAAATTAAAATTTTTTGGATGTTGGTCTCTGCGGAAATAAGCGAGCAGACCTAGCGAGTGAATTCCGTTTGTTTACGTTCAAATAATTGTTCATAGGGTGGAAGAAAAAAGATGATTGATTATGGTTGGGGATTGTTTTCGAGAATTGTTTGGGTCGTCTGCAATTTTTGCAGCGCTTGAATTGGTTTAAGCTCTTAACCGAATAATCTTCCACATTAGTTAATTTTTTATTTCAGGAAGACATTTATCTTCACCAACTAAATATTTTGTGAAAGTCACAGCAAAAACTCAAAATTTTATGCGGTTAACGGTTGGAAATTATGGAATTGGAACTGGGAATTATAAATTGCTTAAAGGCACCCTGTTAAAAAATTGTGAGTCTTTTTCTTTTGCGATAATTGCGAAAAGAGAGATTTTCTATCTATTTTCTGATTTTCAATTTTTATACACGAAATTTTTTATATGCATTTTCCTCGGAAGGTTATTTCTTCTGAAAGTCTTTGAAGAACTTTTAAAGCTCGAATGCGTTAAACCGGATGAGGACTTTTGTTTGGCTCAACATCTGAAGGCTAAAAGGGAAAAGTCTCATAATGACAGTCATTTTGTCAAATTGGAAAATATATCTGTTATTAAAGAGATTATGCTAACGCCCTTAATGAAAGACGAGAGGGTTCAACAGAGATATCTCACACGATAGCCATGACAATTTCAACGTTCCAGCAATTCAATTTCATCAGTCTAAATCGGTACCTTCAGCAGCTCGTGTCACAAATATCAACAGTAGTGTGAACCAAAGTTCGCCAAATGGAGACAAGAGGATGGAAGTTTTTATACGCCAGAAACTTAGGAACTGAAGATTGAACATCGGGATTCAGATAGCGATAACTACGTTAGACAATCAGTTTCCATGGCTACTATAATTACCTTGGACGGGGGAGAAATGATCCAAATGATACAATTAATTAGTAAAAAGCCAAGAAAACTAGAAAAGAACAAAAATGTCGGAATGATTTTACCACAAAAAAATCGTTGCTGAACGTGAAAAGGAGTCAAGCAAAGGCAATTTCATCGAAGAAGTAAAAAGAGGTGAAAGATACGTTGAAAAGAATTGCGGCGAAAACTACGAAAAAGAGTAACAAGTCTAAGAAACAATGTCATGCAGAAATTCAAAAATAATCGTTTGACCCGATCCAATTCACTAGAGTGCGAACCACGGTGTTTCATTGAACTACCTGAAAATAACAATAAAATCCCAAGCATTGCAACTAAACGTCTAACACGTTCTCATACACGCAAAAAGTAAACAAACAATAGTACAGAGTAAGAAATACCAGGTAGACGTTGGCGTGTCCTCACACTCAGGACGAAGAACCAACCCCTTCCCTTGAATTAGTTGCAAAGGGTAATGAGGTGCAAAAAGTAAATGTCACATGATCAAATACTCGTAAAAAGGAAAGTTTTGCCATGGGGCAAGAAATACCTGATAGACGTTTGACGCATTCTCGTTCACGACCTACTGTAATTGCTTTTGGAGGATTTGCATAAAGCTACAATGAAGGACAAAGATGTTTTTTAGAATTGACTTATTTGAGGTGAGTTTTGTTATTCGTATGTACGTCTAGAGGGATACCTTGGTCTTCGACAGTTATCTTTTATTAGGCATTCAGAAGATTTCTCCATTCTTTTCGTGATTTCTTGTTGTTATTGACACTGCAGCTCGAAGGATGACTGGTGTTTCCATGGCATGCACGAGTTCCCATAGTGTACGTAAGGGGGTGGGTGATTACAATGTCCCTTTCTTCGGGTCTTTTTTTCGTCTTGGGTCTTTGGTCGTTTTGGGTTTTATTGCTAATTGATTTTAGCGGATCATTTCTTCTCCCGCCCAAGTTAATTGTGGTAACCATGGGAACTGATTACCCAACGAAGTTATTGCTGCTTGAATCCGGATGTTTAATCTTCAGTTTCTATGTTCGTGGTGTATAAAAATCTCCACCGTCTTGGTCTCCACTTGGCGAATTTTGATTTACACTGTTGTTGATATTTGTCATTGAGACCTGCTGAAGGTATCGATTTAGGCTGATGAATTCGAGTTGTTGGAACGTTGAAACTGTCTTGATTATCGTGTGAGATACAGTTTTTAAACCCTCTTGTCTTTCACTAAGGGCCTTAGCATAAACTCTTTAATACCGTTTGCAACTAATTCGAGAGAACGCTTTGGTTCTTTGTCCTACGTATTGGAACGCGTCAAACGCCTACCCGGCATTTGTTCCTCTGTATTGTTGTTCCTTTCCTTTTTGCGTGTTTGCGAACGTGTTAGACGCCTAGTTGGAATTTTTGCGACTTCATTGTTATTTACAGGAAATTCAGTGAGACACCATGGTTCGCACTCTAGTGTATTGGAACGTGTGGAACGCTTATTTGGAAATTGCTGCGGTGTATTGTTTCTTATAGACGTAGCAGTCTTTTTTTGTAGTTTTCGTTGCAGTACTTTCCAACGAATGACGTCTTTCTACTTCTTCGTTGGATTTGCTTTCGTCTGATTCCTTTTCACTTCAATACTTTTTTTTTTGGGTGAGGTTCATTTTAACTTTCTTATATAAAAATTGTTAATTATTAATAATTGAAATAATCGAATAATAATTTTTATTATTTAATATATTTTCGTTAATTAATAAATTATAATGAACATAGAATAAGTTTGTTTTGTACTGATCCTGACTGGTAAGGTAAGTCAATGCAAAAAGCCATGATTTAGTTCAGGAGAGTCATCCACATCCACATACACAAATGTAAGTGTATTGTTCTCGCAACATAAGTTAATGCCTTACAGTGTTGAACACATAACTGCGTAGGTTCCTAAATAAAAATCATTCCTCTCCATAAAATAACAGTTTTCTATTTAGTATTATTGAGTTATTTATAACTAAAGGGACAACTGACGGAAAAAATCGACAGTGGTGCCATACGCACTACTCGCATGTTAATCCTAACCTCGTTCCACCTCTAAATCCAATCAATGTCGTAGAAATTAACAACAAAACATTTGCAAGAATACGACTTGGGCGTACCATTGCAACATATCAAG